CTTCTCTCTCTCTCTCTCTCTCTCTCTCTCTCTCTCTCTCTCTCTTTCTCTTTCTTCCTTTCTTTCATTATTTTCATACTTTACATATACGTGCGTGTATACGTGCCTCTTGATAATTCTATAACGCAAGAATCGGATCAAACAATTGCTATTGTGTATTAAAATGTACATATTTTATACAAGACTAGTCCTCGAGTAGCTAAAACGTTCAAGTCATGTATATTCGAAATCTCTTTGCGTCATTATTTTATATATAGGAGAGCTAGGGAATATTATACAAGTTGTTTCTCGTACGTGTATCGTTTCAAACAGATTACGGAAGAGATTAATTCCAAGTCGAAGGCTCGATGTTCGCAAACAAAAGCGGGTTATCTTCTTTCGATGATGTTTGTCTTACGGTATATTACAAAGCATAAATTACACGAGTACCGTTGCGCTTCAATCCCCCTGGTTCGACCTTCGACTTATCACGCGATTCTCCGCTAATCCGCTTTCGTTGTTTCGTTCGACTGACAGACTAATCCTTTCCGTGCCCCGCACACTACGGCGTAAAGTACCTTAGCACAGCATTCCCCACCTCTCCCGCAGCTCTCATACACATTTTCCCATTTATGTTCGATGTCACGAAAGAACCCAGCTTTTCCACCCGGCGATCGCTGCTAAACTCGAAAGTTAACCACCAGCTGTCACGTCCGTATCGAGCGGTTTTGGTCGTTTCTACGTCGGGCAGAAGTTCATCCGCCCAAGATTTTTATTTACAGAATCTGATCGTGCTCGCTTTAAGATTGACCTGTACTACTTAAGAATCATATTCTGTTTCTCTTGCGGTCTAAAATTCTCTCATCTTCAAATTTGCTCATTGGGCAGAAATGTAAGACTGAAATAACTCGGACAATTTCAAAACAGTTGCATTAAAAAATAAAATTTTACGCAAATAAAAAAGAATTTAGAATTAATTGCCAATACATCGCTCGTAGATAAAATTCTTTTTTCCAGTATAACGTTTCTGCCATCACTGCTTCAGGGGAAGCATCTCTTGCGAAAAGTATTATTATTCACTGCTTGTTCTTATCTCATTATCATAATAATCTGTATTCTGAGTAGTTATAATACAATCTATCTGCACGATCTTTTTTCTTCAAGCTATTATTGTAGTTTAATTGCTTTTTGTCATTCAGTAGTAAGCGTTGTCTTGCGCGAAAGAAAATGCATATCTAACAGAATGTTGTTGTGCTCATATCGTCTGCCGGAACATGTGTGCAGGCACACGTGGTAATATCGCCGAGGCTTTCTGTTATTATCCTGGCATTTTTGGTTTTATCCAATGCCTTGATATGACCAGTTCCTTGATATCGTAAGTCTCGGATAACCGGATAATTGTAGCCTCTCTCTTCGGGCATAGAAGTGTAGATCAGATAACGCTTGTTGTCGCGCGTGGATTCGAAGCAGCAATGAGGAGTACGTAAATTTCTACAATAATCGAGTGCACAAATTGGATAGCAATTAGCTATAGTTTGGGCAGATTGGAGACAGGTAGACATAGCGTTGGAAGGTTAAATATAATAGTTATCGGGCGTGAATTGTGCCATAAATGTTGCATGGCGCAATGTGTAGTGTTAAGTTGCGGATAACTGTCTTTCTTTTGCTTCCAACGTCTGGACCATACAAAAATGCAACAGATATATCGTAATTATATGTATAAGAATGTAATATATATGTAATGCACACATATTCTCCGCATATGTTTCATCGCCGAATTTTTACTACGCACGCATACGATTTTGATAATTCTAAAATTTGTCTAGCGATTAACAGAGTTGACAGTACTTTTACATAATTATGTCTTTTTTTCTTCATGCCATGAACGATTTTTTTGCGTCAGTTGTGGGCTCAATAAAAAGCTAGGCCGTTTTTAGGCGTTCACAAGCTACCGAATATAACATTACTTCTCTGCATATTTTAAATCGCGTAGATATTTATAATAGTAATTTGTTCACTTCGTATGTGTAATATAATCGATATCACATTATAACTATTACCTCTATATTCTTAAAACGTATCCTTTACAAACGCTTTATACAATACGGATCTTGTAACTTGGACTAAAAATTACCCACTCTGACTTTAATTATACAAGTTGCTATTTTTTTTACTCCCTTTCTTTCTTATTTTATCTTATCATTCTTCTTTTCTTTCGTTCTTTCTCTCTTCCTCTTTCTCTCCCACACTCTCACTCTCATTGTCACTCAACTTCACACACATACACACTATGTCAACTTGGTCACTCTGTTACCCGTTTACCTTCATTGTGTACATGCAACAACCACAATAGTAATTACATATTTTCTAACGATATCTTATTTAGAGTGTTATAGTGCAATGTTGAAAACTCGAAAGAATTTAGCGAAAAAATAGCTACTCGCGGAGAGTATCAGATTAATGAGATATCACAGAAAGTGCAATTCTCGATGTTTGTTTATTTCTTTCGCCTTTAAGAATTTATAACACAATAATACGTTATTTGCACGTTCTGTAATTTCACATTTTCACAGCTGCATCTCGATACTTTCCCTAGAAAATATCGCACGAGGATTCAATCGTGCGTGAGGTGCATCAGCAAGCAATACGAGTGTTCTCGATTTATCTTCAAAATCCTCGCACGATGCCTCTGAGTATGCAATTTGTAGCAATTTTCTCTATGCTTTTAGGAAGATCTGCCTTTGCATGTCGCTTGCAGATTACGGTAGTAATAGTAATTGCATTTAAGAGAAAAGACGCTCGAATCGGATCTAAGTGTCTTACGCGAACAAGATGTTTCCTTGCATTTGAATTTAATTCACGCTGATTAGCAATAAATAATTTTGTCAGATTTCTACGATTGTGCGATATATATTTCCTGCGAAAATATCGTAATACATTTTTCAAATTACATTTCAGGATGGATGTTTAATCAATTAAAAATCGCTTTCTTTTAATCAAACATTTAACGGATAATTTAAGTAACCATCTTGCTAAATTAACGTTGAACGTTCAATAAATGCATTTCCTTTGATTTCGCTCGAGAGTCAACCCGCAGGTTCACTGCATCTGTCGCCAATAATTCATCTAAACAAAAGCGAAGGAAATGTAAGCAGCAAATAGATCAATTGATTATTATTATTGTACCGATATCTTATTCACGCATTAACAATAACATCCGATCCGAACGTACACTGAGAATTCGGTGCGACGATCGGTCGCTTCGTTTAAAACACGATTCTCAATGTCTTAATCACATTATTTAACGGATCAATGTTTGAAAATCTTATTCCACAAATGTGGAGCACATTTTATGAATCAATGAAATAATAAAAAAAATCTTATTTAAACTTATAATGATGTGTTCTAGCTGTTACACTGAGAGGAAATTCATTATGGAAATAACACATATCCTGTGGAAAAAATGTACTATAAAGTCTCCTTGCATAATACACTGTAAGTTGTTTTGATTAACACAAAAATAAACAAATCTGTTTGAAATTTTGGAACAAACACCGTTCCGTTATTGAAACACCGAACAGCGCACCGCATCAAATTGGATTTCGTGAGTGCAACAGTGTAAAGTTATAATGTTATTCTACGATTAGAGGCGAAGAGAGAATCTTGCTTTAGAGAAAATTCGGCGAGCGGTCAAGTCACTTCCCCTTCGTGGATATAATGTTATACATAATATTCAGACGTGAGCGTGCCAAGGAGTCAAACAAGAAGCTTTACAGGAGCATGTTGTCCAACAACATTGATAAAGTAATTTTGCCTTTAAAATCTGACATTGCTGGTAATTATTGGAAAATAACAACGTTTCGATAAATGTACGAATCAAGCGCTACATATCTGTCATCAAATATAATTAAAAATATCGTTGCAGAATATTATTAGGTAATTCTTTGTAAATTTCTGTTGTAAAAGTCTAAACAATTAAATGTCGATTAATAGTGGTATCATAATCAATTGGTACCACATATGTTTCATGTATTATTTGTTATGCAACAAGAATCGATACGCTGTACGATGTACAGAAACGAAAAAAAGAAGTAGAAAGTAACGATGATGACTAAGGCGGCTCGAACTTTGTGCCAAGAGATTCCTTCCATGGATTATACAAAATTATGCTGGTTTGGTCCTTGGCACGATCGGCTAACGCGCTCGCCGTGCCTAAATAATAAGTTAACGCGCACTCCCGAGCGCGAAGCGGTATGTTCGGTCAGTCCTTAACAAGACGAGTATTTCGTTTCAGGTATTTCAAGATTTATACAATATATACACCTCTCGCGATTAAAACAAAACGCCTCATAATCTGCGTGACACGCAAAACTCTTGTGACTCGATGATCGGTGATAGTGGTGTGATGGTGCTGCTATTGCCGTTCGACCATTAAGTTTCCTTCACTCGCGCGGGAAGGGTATATAATGACTGGCACGGTTTCCTTCTCGACTCGATGCGGCGATCGCGGGGAAGAGTTCTCTCGTCGGCCGAGACTCGCCGACGATATGATGATGATGACGAGACCCGTAAATGTGCGTCCGTTCGCAGATGCATCCTTTCTCCGGAAGAGTTTCAGGACCTCTGCTGCCCCGGCTGCGCTGTTCTGGCTGCCCTACACCGGACAGACCAGAATCTCGTACTCAAACATCAGCGAGACGGCGACGAAGACGAAGTAGAGAATGAACATCGTGAACCCGAGGCCCCTGTTCATTTTCCATCTGAAGCAGGCGATGCTCATGATCACGAACAGCAGCATGCAGAACAGTATTGCTATACTGCACACCATGCCAACGGAGTTCACCTCCACGGGTTTCCCGTAGATCAAACCGTACAGGAGCCACGGAACCGGAAGCCTGTGGGCAGAATTAAAGCGCAAATCGAGCCCATTTTCACTGCCCGACTGATTCGCTAATGCGATTATAATTATATCCCTGCACTCTAATTGATTGATTTATTCCTTTCATTTTTTTTTTTACTTTTTCCTATTCTTTTATTTCTATTATTTTTTAATCTAAAATCAGAGTATGTATCTTTCAAATCTGTCAACGATAAATCTTTTAAGAAAAGAAGGCATTTGTAATGCATGCAGCAGTGAAGAATTGCGTGGAATTAATATTTAAGACTTGAAGATTTGTGATGTAATGATATATTGAAAGTCTTTTAATGAAACACTTCATTATTCGTCTGAGTTCTCCAATTCGCGACTTAAAGATTCATTTTAAAATTAAAATTCTCATCTAGCTGAAACATATACGTTGTTATTATATGAATCAATAATCCTGCACAAAGTTATCTTCGATCATAACTTTCAATTCTATAGAAACTAGCGTAATCGTTACATCCTTGTACAAATCGTAAAACATGTCGCTTTCTGAATATGCGCTTGTATTCCTCGTGTTATAAACAATATTTACGGCTTTATGATTAGAAGCACAGGCGGGATTATTTATTATATCGATTGAATTCAAACATGCGCGTGTAAGTGTACATGTGAATATTGCGCAATTTTATATATATTTTAAAATACAGTATCTATAATTCATCTGTAATGCTGTAATGTCTGTAATGCTATCGATGTATCTTTTGGATATACATATATTGTTTGACGTGCAGTCGCAAGCGCTTTGCACAAATACAAAGAAATATTTCTTCGTTTCTTTCTCAGGCAATTTGCCAATTGGCAATAGATCAGCGAATGCATAGTTATAATTGATCATCGATGAAAAGAATCTGATGTTTCGTCGCAATTACCAAAAAATCACGAAACGCTACGAAAAAATGCGGGATTCAGTTTTGAGAGAAAGATTATTGGATTTGGATTTTAGCTGTAAAGATAAAATAGAGATAAAATAAAATAGAGATAGAGATAAAAAATTTAATTTATATTGACAGCAGTAAAAATTTGCGCTTTGTTAAGAGCTTGAAATATCATGCACAAAAATAAAAATTTTTAAAAGTTACGAAATATGTTTAATTACAAATAAAAATAAAGAAACAATTTTGTTGTATTTAATTCTGATTAATGATAAAATAAAGAAAGAATTTTTTATTTTTTATTTCAGAAATCGCAATATATGTCTAGCAAGATTCTGAATGCAAGCGAGAAAGCGTAAATGTGCAAATCATGCTACACAGAGCATCAATTTAGCGAATTCAAGAATTGACCAACTTTTGTCATTATTATGCCGCGCAGCGCGTCTTGGAAACAATGTGGCAATTGTACATTTTTATTAAACAAAACAAAATTTTGCTATTTTAGCGACGGTAGTTTCCAGACGATAGTTTCGCCGTAGAAATTCTCAAGACCTTTCCATGAAGTTGCGTCTAGACCAGTATTCGCGGCATTTCCCGCGCCAACAATATAATAATGGCGAGGAATGAATAGCGAACGTGATTACAGTAAAATGGCGAGAATGCCTCGACGGATTCAGTCTGGCTACCAATTTTGCATGCCTCTTCTAGCTTCGTTTGATTGTCGGCAAAATCCAATTCGTATATTGCACGCGCAAGCATATATTATGAGAAAGAGAATAGTATATGAGTATATATATATATAGAGTACGCGTATGTACGAATGTGTGTGCCTGTCTACCGCTTGCTGTTTGCCCGTCTTCGGTGTGTATTACACAATTAAGCGCATTGTATTCGTGTACGTGCTAGAAAGTTCAATAATTCCGATATATTGTTCGATTCGTCTATTGAACTTTACTGTGCCATTCTTACAAGTCATAATCATTTCTGCCGCCTATCAATTTCCGCATATCAATTTCTCTGAAGGTCCCGCGGGAATATTGACATTGTTCAAATAGCGTCGGGAAAGTTTCTCGCATCGCTTGATACTGTCGAATGTGTGTAAGGATTACGAAATAATATCGCGCGTCTTGCATAAGTTTTACGAATGGAAGATTTCTTTTCCGGAATATTCTAGATATGATATTTACATTTTTTAATCAAAAAATAAAATAATAGAATAATGCAACAAAAGATTAAATTTTGAAAATACTCCACATCAATATATTTACTTATGTTTACTTATGTTAGCACACATAATGACCAACTATATATCTAATAATTCAAGTAGTATATGCATATATCTTTAAATCAAATGTAAATCAAATACCATTCTTATTCAGTGCATCATATGATTATGCATACATTCTCGTATGCATAATATGAATAACAATAACATCACTTCTTCCACTAGTAATGCAAATAGATATTACGATAAGTGCTTCATGTTTCATTAACGGAAATAAATCTAAATAGAAAATAGAGAAAATGACAAAAGACGTTAACTGTATATTTGATTAACCAATTCTCATTGATTAAATTTAGATAAAACTTAGAATTTAAAAAGATTTGAGAAAAATAGTTTAACAATTAGTTGTTTCCCATCGTAATTAAAATAAGATATTATCTTTTGCTATGAGAAACAGAGATCTGCATAAATGCTTGCAATGCAAGCCAACCGATATTTTTTGCCGTCAAACGTTATTCTGACATGTTTTTCTCGTTGCACGCGAACGATTAACGTTACGAAACGATGAACGAAATTTGATATTGATATCCCTTCCGAATAAGCTTCCCGGCCTCTTTGGCACTTGGCTCTTTTCTTTAATCGATCCTTTAACATAGTACGACGTAAATGGGTTTCGAGATCAAAAACAGAGAAAGCAGCAGACGCTTTCAAGGGTGTATTAAATTCCTTGGTTGTGCCATATTATTTTCACATCTTACGTTGCTATTCTCTCCCGCGCAAGAAAATTTTGAAAGAATTCTTGCATATAATCTTTATATAATATCGTCTTTTTTTTCACTGAATCAATTATTCTTTGCGTATTTTCAAGATTTAAGTTAATTTTCCAATTTTTAAATGGTTACGATTAGAGGAAGTAATAACATGTTAACACGATTGTTGGATGTTAATCGAGTATTAATGAGATTAAAACGCTGGACTAGTTGCTGACATTTTAGTGAAATAATAAAGCAATCGTGAAATAATAAAGCATAAAATATCAAAGTTGCCGCTCCTTTTTAATTAATTTCCTATTTTATGATTTGTACCATTTACTTTGCTATAAGTTTTGATGTGTACGAATATTAATAAAAAATGTGTCAGGAATGCTTTCTTTCGCATTCTTTTTACACTTTTATCTATTATACATCAGTCGGTTATGTATACTGATATCTATATTTTGTATGTATCTTATTTTTCTTGAGATTTGAGATAATTTTACTAGAAAATTAATATAACGGAAAATCCATCCTTTCTATAGATGCCTTCCTTTCTTACCTTCGTTATCTATATCGATTCCAGCAGTTCTATATTATACGTATCGGAGTATATCATAAAACTCTATTCACGTGTGGAAATCGATAAAAAATACACTTTGTTATGACATTTTTAAAATAAAATTCTACAATTATGATTTTTTATCAATTGAATACTTAACTTTCATTCTTCTTTGAATATTATCACTGCGATATTATTCTAATAAAATATTATTTTTCAAAATTGTTTTTATCAAATTCTCAAAATATTTTTTAATTTTCTGCAGACTGTCGTGGCAAGCACGCAGTTAAAATATTCTATTTTCTCAATAATTCATCAAAAATTATTTTAACAAATTTAATATTAAAACAATAACAGAAATAAAACAAGATAAAAAGTATGATGACTCGTGAGTTGATAAAATACTTTGTATTCAGTTCAGTATTCGATAAACATAATAAAATTATAGAAACATTTCACAAAAAAAAAAAAAAATATTAATACTAGTATATCAGAGTGAATACAAAACTGTCAAACTTTTTCGAATATTTTAGAACCGAATGAAATGTCATGCACCGAACTTCAACGTACAATATATATGTATAATGCAAGGCAACGATGTATTGCATTGACGTGAGAATTCTTAAAGATTTGGATGCTTACCCAACAGTCACGTCGAAGATGTTGCTGCCGACGGAACTCGACACGGCCATATCGCCGTATCCCTTCCGCGCCACGATGACGCTTGTGATGAGGTCCGGTATGCTGGTGCCAGCTGCGAGGAACGTCAGGCCCATCACTTCCGGCGGTATAGCCACCGTGTCGCCGGCGACGTTCGCCCACCAGACCATCAGGTACGAATACGCCGCGATCCAGAAAATCGAGCCGATGAACGTTATCGGGAAGAACTTCTTCCCTGAAATTAAGCGAGTGCGTGGCATCTGTTACACTCTCTACAAATTTATACATAAATTACATGAATCGTTGTGACAGACCAATGTCAATATTAAACATGACACCACGGTGCATTTCTCTCGTGAGGACCGAGTCGGAAAGAATCACACGCGAAAGGGGTACTGCCAGGGACGGATTTCGGTTTCTGCCGCTCCTAGGCTGAATCAAATTTGCCGCCCCTTAATGACAGTGGAGCAAGGGGAAATTTTTTTATTAATTAAATAAGAAATAGATAATAAAATAGGAAACAGGTATCTTATATATAGGATTCTTTGAATAAGAAATAAATAATAAAATAGGAAACAGGTATCTTATATATAGGATTCTTTGAATAATAATAAATAACACATTCTCTCTCGCGCGCGCGCGTTTCCAGTTTTTCTTCTCCAATTCTCAACCGATTTTGTTGACATTTTTTCTATCATATTTAATGTTACCCCGAGCACATAAAGCCAGAAATGTAAAGAACGTAAAAAAATTTTTAATATTAAAAAAACTTACAGAAAAAATTTCAGCAAAATTGGTTGAGAATTGGGAGAGAAAAACGGGAAATAAATTTCGCCGAAAACGCTGGAAAAAATAGCACTTTATACACTCTTTAACAGTAATGATCACGAACATATTTATATTATGACTCTTTTGATGAAAATCAGAATGTATTTCGAATATAAATCAAGTGTTAATAAATTTTTTTTTAATTCAAAAATTAAAAATTTGCCGTCCCCTAAAATCTGCCGCCCAAGGCTATAGCCTATCCAGCCTAATGGGAAATTCGCCCCTGGGTACTGCAAACGCAGTGGTCCGAAGACGTGTCATTTTGTTGACATCGCTATTAATGGGGCAGAAGAATGGCCTTGTTTACATCAAGCGGCGATTCACGCGAAAGGATACTGCACGAAAAGTGGGGTCTTACAACCGGAGTGGTCTGAGTCGCGTCATTTTCTATTCATCAATAGTGAGGAGTAGGGTTTTGTTTAGACTAACGACGATTCACACGATAGAATACTGAGCGGAGGTGGGGTCTTGTAACCGGAGTGGTCCGAGCGCGTCATTTTTTTCAATAGTGGGGCGAAGAAAGGTGTCCTGTTTAGACCAGCGACGATTCACACGAAAGAATGCTGCGCTGAAAGTGGGGACCTGCAATCGGAGTGGTCCGAGACGCGTCATTTTGTTTTCGTCGATAATGAGATAGAAGGAAGTTCTGTTTAGATTAAAAAATGATTGTGGGATGTCTTCAACTTGAAAGAGAGACTTTCTAATGTGAGAGATGCGAGATTTCTTAACCACTAATAAAGTAGAATAGATGGAACATCTTATTAAGACAAAACGCAATGATTTACGTAAATGATTTTTTGCATATTGTCGCAATTTTAGTAGTTTAAAATGCACTGTTTTTATGACAACGCTAATAGAGTAAAATAGAAAGCAAGTTTTATTAAACTAAAGCACGACAACTCTGTGTGAGATAAAAAGAATCTATTAAAAATATTTAAAGGTATTTTCATAACAGTAAAATTTTGCCGTTCATTGTAAATTGTTTAAAAGAAGACGTTTTAAAGAAGACGTTTATAAAGCAGCTGTTAAATAAAAGATTTCCAGCAAATCGCATACGCTTTTCTTGGTGAATATACTTAATAGCAAGTAAAGTCGTTCTATGCTAATAGAAACCGTCATTTCGCAGACTTCAATGCCGCATTTACGTGCTTTAAATACGATGATAAGAATGAAGTTCGAGATATCTAATCTGTAATCTAATCCTAATGACCGAATCTCCAAGCTTTAATTTGAGAATGTCGGATAAAGAATTTCGCACACACACACTTTCTCTCTTTTTCTCTATCTCCAGTGATAACGTAGTGAAATATCGATATATTATGCAAATAACTGACTTCTTTCCATGATTACGACAATAAAAAGAGAATAGAGAAAAATTGGAAGTTTTCTGTATTAAATTGTTTTATATTAGTTTTTTTAATTTATATGAATAAAAATACGCAACAAAAGAGATATATGATAATTAATTTGTTTAATTTAAGTTATATCAATCAAATTTAATCCAGGCAGTTTGAATTATTCCATTGTCACATCTATTCGCAAGAGAAAAGAGTTATATCACGGAAATAAATCTTAATTTAATTCAAAAAATAACTGCACTCTTCTCGTTACATTTTAATATGTAATATGTAATAATACTTACATATGTAATAATTTTTATAGATTTTGAACGTAATTAAATATCAATAACTACAGTTTTGTGTTACACTTTCCAGACTAACTTTCAGAAGTTTCTGAAAAAAAAACCAGGAAAATTTGCCAGTGTGTAAAACATAGTTTACATGCCTCGGTTTATGTTAATTTCCAGTTTGCATAAATATTGACACATAAATAAACGGGTTTGAACTACGATTCGTTTGTGTGTTTCGTGTGGTGAATGCAATTCCGCATTAATTGATCGTAGCGACGTTCATATTAATAGATCGGTAATCAAAGACCGAGATTGCTGAAATTCAAAGGACATATCGGAATTTTAGCTGACAATAGAATCGTAGTATTGCACGCGTACGTATGGTTATCTATACGTTCATACGTGTGCGACAATCAGTCCCCAATGCGAAATTGGCGTGTCAATATCATCTTTCGTCGCGGGCATTGTACAGTGTTGCAATAGAGGCGTGTTAATAGGCTGAGATAATATAACGGGTCGTAGATAGCGCTTACGATGATTCAAATAACAGCAACACTGTGTGCGTAGCGCGTTGCACATTGATCTTAACATGTATTATTAAATTGGGAAAACGCAGAGCCTATACCAAATCCGACAATTCAATTCCTCTCGCGCATATGATAGGTGATCGAATTGCACTACCGTGTAATATCTTCCGCAAATAATCAGCAATTATTTTCATCGACGTTTTCATGGGACGACTTTTCACCCATCTTGTTCATTGTTGATCTTTTAACCAATTGTAAGCGTTGTTGTATGCATTACACGATAATAAAAATGTAACCCAACTGTAAAACGTAAACTTATGCAACTAGTTAAGCGTAAATGCTGCTTAATTAATCTCTTGTAGATGAGACGAGTTCCACTGCGATGAAATCGATGGTTCGGAATCCCAAATTCCCGGAGTTGAGCTAATATTACCTCGGGGTCGATAGCGGGCGGGCAAAACACCGTGCGACGTTTGCGCTGATTGATAGGATTTAATCTAACCCCGATGTTTCGACCGAGTAAAAAAAAAGTACGTACACACTGGCTTAGAGTTTTGGCCGTTAATTAATAGTACGTTGGAAATGTTTCTGCAACACTTCTTCCGTCTCTTCGTTTCTGGCAAACAATAAATTGTCGTTCACGCTTTTATCAGCAAAGTGAAACATTATATATAATTAACAAGCAATCAAGTATACAATTTCACGTTAATACATAATCGCGGTATTGCGCGAGACGAGGCGAGATCAATTTTGCCATAGGGTGAAATAATATTGATAACGAATTGTTACAAAGAAATTGAAATAAAAATGATCTTGATATATCCCCGCGTTCTGGCATTAGTAATTTATTACCGAAGGATAGAGATAAAAAGTAAAAGCGGAGTAAAGACAAAGAGTAGAGCGCAAGGCAATTGAATTATCGCTGTATGCTCACAGATATGCTTATCGATTAAAAATATTTTTAAAATATTAAATTCTCTGCGTTCTAGAAAATTGTTCTGTTTGTAAATATGTTAATTGACTTTTCGGGGGAAAAAAATTTAATTTTTATAACAAACACGAAAATCCAAATAAAACTATTTGATCAGTTTTCCGTTTAACAAAAATGTTGCTTCTATCTTTGTTCAAATTTTCATCTCTCTTTTCAAAATTGATTCATCACTGGAGGAATCTGACATTATTATCCGAACAGTCAACAATGGAAACATTGAGAAAGAAGGCCATCGGATAAAGCATTAGTGTTAATACAAATATTCAGTCATCCATCAAGAAATCCGAGAAATTTAATTCCGCTTGATTTTCTTATATCTATTATATAATCGTTATTCAATTTAATGAAATTAAAAGTAATGTGTAAAAATATAGCTTTCTCAACTTTTTTCACATGTTATATACAAATTTTTCCAAAAATTCTAATTGAAAAAAGATAATATTAAAAATCCAAATATGTTCACTAAATAAATAAAAAATAACTTATTATATACATATAGAAAGTATATGATTATTACCTCTAGGTGTTCTCGTATCTGGTAACGTCAACCAAAGGGGAAATAAGATTGGCGCGACCAAAATGTAAGTTAGTCTTTTCTCGGGCTGCTGGGCCAACCCATATCCAAGGCCTCTGGAGGTTCGTCCTCTTCGCCCTGTTGAAAACCATTTTAAAAAATTAAACTCCTCTTACAATATGTTATATTTTATAAACATATGTAATAAATGTTATAAAAGATATTTTTTTAAATATATTTTTTATCATCTGTTAATCTAAAATAGCTACATATAAAATTAATTTCTTTTGTGCTTCCTAAAGCTCGGCGGAGTTCACTGGCATTTCGCGAAAAATGCGAAAGAAACGTTTATGTGCATTATTGAGAGACGCCACAAAGCTTGGAGACGCTTTGAAAAACCACGAGTTGTCGGCAGAGGCACACAATGTCTGTCTTTTCGTTATTCCGCCTCGGGCAAATCGTGGTATTACTGCTACCGAGTATGCTTATATTTGTAAATTACTAATTCATTTGTACAATATAGTGAACTTCGCATTTCTTGCAGTTCGGACTAATCTTTGTTTTACATTTCTATGCAATTTGTTTAGTAAAGAGTTACTTAGCCGGGATTATCGCCAATCAAGGGAATCAATTGTATCGCTGCAAGAACTAATAACATACAGCAAATAAAATTAATAACAGTTAGATAGATTAAAACAAAATTCCAAGCTTTCATGGCTTCAACAAAACAACCAAGAATCAAAATCGAATATGCCTCGCTGTAACATCTTTGAAGGTCACTTGTCTTGAAAATCTGTCATCGCTTTGTTATAAACTTAATGAAGCTACTTGCTATGAACCAAATAATTGCAGAAAAGTTTCCGAGCGCCTCGTCATCTCCCGTAAATCCGGAAACTCGTGCGGAAAAGCGAACGGTTGGTGACTTTGCTCCGATTATCCGTGGGAAATGCGCGCGGACTACAACGTGCAGCGGACGGGTGGGATGCAGCATTGACCCAGATTCTCTCTGATGCATTCAAAATGAAAAGGCCCTCTCTTCGCTCATTTAGGACAAAGCCGCCTGAGACTGCTCGCTGTCCGTTCATGCGCCGCGATACCAACCAACGTCGCGGCTAATATTCTCGAGAGAGCACTTCGAATAGTCGATTTCCGATTTATATTTCCGCGGAATAGCTTTCCAAATTACAGTGACGATTATGTAACTCGGGGAAATTGCTTCGACGTTTCAACATCTCCTTGCACCTCTGTAAATACGATTGGCGCAAAAACGACGGAACAAGGGTCCTTTTGTACTACGGTGATTACAGTAAAAGAGTGTACAGTAGAAGCACAATCTCCTTAAACGTTAAGTATTCATTGGCTCGAATCGATAGTCTAAATTTTCTTTATTTATAACATGATACTTAGTCGTGCGAGTTATATTTACAATTCTAAAGTAAACTTTATATAAAATAATAATGTTTTCTACTACATGTTTAATTAACAATATACGAATTGTTTCTGATTGAGATTTGATTGATAAATGTTAATTAATTACTGTTGATTAAAAAGAAAACTAATACAATATTATTTCAATTTTTAATTAAAACATTAACTCGTATGCAATGGAGTATTTATATTTTTATGTGTATGCAGATTTTATGATTCATATTTTTTTTTATTTACGCTACGACCAAGTGACGTTAGCAGAAAGCAATAAACGTTGAAATAAAATTACACACGGTAAAAACTACAACGTCATATCGTTTCAACGGAAGCTCATAGAATATCTGATTGAATATTGATCAGATTTATTTGAGTTGATCTTGCTCGATGGATCGTAAGAAAATAAGGGCAATACCGGATAAGATTTGATAAGAAAAACATGTTGCGCTTATATGCGATGCATTTTTTAAGCGAATGCCTCGCGCGTCAGACGTGATCAACATTAATGTAGCGATAAAAGCTCGAATGTGCTTGATGCAAGAAAATGACGCAACATAATATATCGATTTAAGCCATCGTAAGCCGCACGACGTAACTTGCTCTGCTTCTTTTGATCTCCGGTCGGGACATTCTCTTTTAATTACAGTTTAATTGAACAATCAATTTCGTATTTTATTATTCAACGAAAAGTCATTTTGTATCGTGATTAGAAGAACGATCTTGCGGCTAAGCTAAGCGTTAAAAAAAGTGAACTCGAATGTGATCTTCTGATATACGTTCGTATTTATATTACAATTAGCGATATTTTTTTAGAATCCCCAAGAGACGGCAAACGAGATACCAATGTAGAGATAGATAGTGATAAAGCGGTTTGTTGAAGCTGGAGGTCGATGCGTCAGGAAATGAGGAACCTTCGAGTATATGTGTGTGTGCGCTCCTATCGCGCGGCGCGACGTCGGGAAGAATTATTGAATATTTATCTCTGTCCGCGCCACAGTGTGGACGCGGAATTCTTCGCGATATCATCTGACGAACAGCTGGGAAGTTCCGATAGGTGATATCGCTCGTTTTGTTTTTCTCCCCTTTCTTATATTGCGTTGATCGCTCTCCACAGTCATTCCGTGGTGGAGCGACAAGAAAATTTCGCACCGCGAGGAACGTCGCGTTCGACATATATAAAAAACTTATCGATCCTTGGCCTTCTTTTTTCTTTCTGACGACAATTGAGGATAAAATGCGCCTTTACACTGTGATCGCGCCAAATCCGATTGAATTGGAACGCGGAGGCGCGGTTTTCACATATTTCAATCTGGTGCGGCGCGGCTGAGTTCGACGCAGGCAAAATAACCTTGGATGAACTTTAAAGTTCGAAATCGACAAATATCGAACGACACTCTGATTTATGATCGCCAAGTTCGCGGGGTCAGCTTGCCGCGCGGGTGAAAATTACGGTTGTTCCGATAAGACTTAATGGATGAACATCGTGCCGATTTATACTCGTCCGCGTTAAGACTTGGAGCGTGAAGCTAACTTTTACCACCGCTCTGAAGGGAAGCTCTGAAGGGGTATTTTCAAGTATATTATTCAATCGCTAAATAAAGAAAAATTATAAATATTTTTTAACTTTCTACCGACAGTATGTGATGTAACAATTAATTATTAGGTTAAAGTATATACATATACGTGAGAGAAGAACGTTACAATGACGTTGGAACAAGTTCAAAAGAATTACTTCGCGTGATTCGCAGTATTGTGAGAATTAAACTACCTATTCTAATTCAGGATACCCAAGTCGTGATAGAAGCAAACATTTCACATTGGAAAGTAGAACGTTACGATATCGAATTAACGTGCCCTTTATGACGTGTTCTAACGAAAGCGACAGCTATGGCCAGTTACACTAATCAACGTACGTACAATGTATTAAATTAGCAAATTGAAGCTTACTTTTCTGTAAAAATATTCTTATGCGATCACTGGAAAATAAGGAGTATTCGATTGGTCACATTTAAACGAAAAACGTGACGACCGATATGCTGCGAGCAAATCAAACGTTTTGTCAAGAAAAGTAGAACGACAAATTCCAATCAACGTGTTCTCGGCCTCTTTGTTTTACGACGGCACGACATGAGAAACTATTCCAATCTCTCGAGGTAAACTGTTAAACGAATTAGATCGTAGATTCTTGTAGCATGGTTCCTTCCCTGCTAATTTGCAGAAATAAATTTCGTATGACGAGAGGATCATTTAATTTCCTTTCAAAACATATTGGCTTTATTACATGACGATAAATGTCGCAGCAAGCGCTTTTAAAGAATTTTGCACTATATCCTCTCGTTACATTTATAAAGATATATTTAAATAATATTCGAAAATATATTTACTACATATTTAAATGTCGAAATAATACAATGCAAAATCATTGAACTTTTTTACGAAATAAGCGCGGCGCGGCTTAACAATCCTAATGTCGACATCAATCAATCAATCAATCAATCAACGAGCCTGTCAATCCAACTCTTATTGTTACCGTAATATCTCTTGTGTTCGATAATTACCGAATCGAGGCCAGCATCGAGACCGGCGGCGATACCGCCGTTCGGAAGTTCCTGAATACCGGCGGTAGTGCCGGCGGTGGTTGTCGTAGTCGTGGTAGTGGTGGTGGTGCCTTGCGAGCCCTGCTGCAGCTGCAGAGTCGTCTCCTTCGAGGGCGCGCCGGAGTAATGGGCGGCGGTTGACGTCGCGGCGCCGTTGTGCGGCTTGGTGGCATCCAGCAACACCTTCAGCGATGCTATCGCGTGCAGTTGCGTCGCCTTTTCGTCCACCTTGCCTGAACAGCACCAGCGATGCAGGTTAATGAGAGCAAAAGCGCGCAGCATTGACTCTTAATTGTGCGACCATCTCGAAGTCGAATTTATAACAGATATATATGTGTTGTTTCGCGTATCCTTTTCTACAAAATCCCGTATGTCAAATTGAATAAAAGTAACTTTTCATTATTTTAATTTTAACTTTTCATTATTTTAATAGTACAAATGCCAGCCAGTGGACAATGTATTTTGTTACTGTTCAAATGCATATTGTCATTGAATAACAAATGAGTATGCAAAAACATCTTTCGTAGAAAGAAAACGCTTTATTTCAAACGTTAAGAGACTACGAAAATTTTAACAAATTTCATAGATGCAAATGCATTAATCATTTATAATTAAATTTAATTGCGCATTAATTATTTTTAATTAAGCTTAATAGATCTAAACGTATCAATCATTTTGAATTAAATTCAATTAAACAGATAACGTATTATGCATATTTAGTCTTGGATGGACTGTACAATTCGATAAAAAGCATATATACATCGCGTAGATATACGAAAATTATGTTTAATGCATGCTAATTACGACATAAGTCCAAATTGTTTTGTTGGAAATTGAGCCAGCTTTGCTACCATGTACATTAACGGCGCCGCACTGCATTATATCGAGGTAAGTCTGTTGCATTCGAGTAAATTTCGCAACGTTTGCAAATTCCGCGCTTGGCCGAGTTTCCGATTCTGATCAGGAAATAGAAGAACGTTCTCGTCATTCATGCACAGTGTCTTTTGTATTCGTTTTAGTTCTTGTTTCACGCGAAAACATTTACGAAATGTCGATCGCGTATCAAGCTTCTTCTTTATTCGCACCGTCGAATTTCTACAACGCCGGAAAATTGCAACGTAAATCGACGAAGGTTGAACACGCAACTTCGAGATAATCGCAGAATACGTCAAAGTTCGTTTCATGCAGTTACGCTCTACTCTTTACCTAATTTTACAAGCATACAAAATACTATCGCTTTTGTTAAAATACTACAAACTTATTTCTACAATCTCCAACCCTAAAAACAAACATAGTTTATTAATTTACTAAATAGCAGTTAGATTTCTAATTCTGTCAACAACCTCTGAACAATTATTTTTACCTTTTTTTTTAATTTTAAGAGTTTAATAAAGGTTTAAAAGTTAATTTCGCGCGTATTAAATATTTTGCTGTGAAAATATACTGTAATTAATACGAATAGTATATGTAACATGTATATGATTCGTGCATATTGTATTGTTAGATTAAAATACTGAAACAGTATTCTAATCGCCTTTCAAGCGATATGCAACATGCAGCAGAACATAGAATAATACATTCGACGAAAGTATAACAAGTATATTAAAGACAAAATTATAAAATTAATATCATAAAATGAGTGTAATTAGTTTCCATCTGCAAATATATACATACATTTATTTTTATAGAAGAATATATTGTTTTGGGAATAAACTTTCAATATTTTTTAATCGAATATCATCAAAAGTAATTTGTATCTAATCAAATTCAAATAACTATTATCAATAATGTAACATGACTTAAACCAATGGACATAAAATATAAATATTGTATATATAAGACCAGAACATTTGCCTGTATAGATGATACACGTCCGTTTCCACTGTATACAGTCCACAGAGTGTGCCATGTGTACAGGTCATGCATAATTTAGAATGTACATGCTCTATAGATAGCTTCGGGGAGAGAATTCGAGAACTCGATGGTCTTGCCGCTAAAAGGGATCATCGTTATTTCAACAAGTAGTCGATCAATCGACATTATCTATTTCTTTGAGTGAGAAACCTTTCCGTGATATCGCAAGACTCTTCCCTCACACACCTTGATGACCTTCATTAATAAACAAGAAATGGATTGATCACACATATAATCGGAAATATTTAATTCAATAAGATGAAATCATTTCTGAATGTGGTGAATTCATTATTTATTTTACATGGTCGGATAGATATATCTATTTAAATGGCTTAATAATAATTAGGTAATTAATGGACTCTGATTAATTAATAATCCAATGACGATTAAGTAATCAACACGCCTTTATGTAATGAGAAAAATTCATATATCTAATTATTTATGATTACTGCCTTATTCGCTTGACCACATTCAAACAGAATATTCATCTTAATTTGTATTGTATTATAAGAGAAAATAAAAATTCTAAAAATACAGAGAGAGAGAGAGAGAGAGAAAAATAGAAAGTATCGAAAATAATAGAAGTTTTTATTAATTTTAAAGTTAAAAACAATTTTTAAACAATTTTTAAAACAATTTTTCATAGATATTACGTTATTTCTTTTATTTTTGCACGATAAAAATAATTAAATTAAGTGATGAAAACTATGTAAAATTATATAGGAGCTTCTCAAGACTTTCACATGTTTAAAACTGGATTATATTTTAAATAACCTTGTAAGTCACTAGCAGATTACACTTGTCAGAAAATATCGTGTAGCAACTAACAATTTTGTGAAGTAGCTGTGAGGTGTGCCCCAAATATGCGGTTACCATAGCTCGTGCGAACTTTTGCTGCTCGCCAGGCAGGTCAAAACAAAAAAGTGGGTAAGTGAAAGAAAAAAAACCGAGGAGAGTTTGAAATTCAATATTATACGGAAATAGAGTAGCGTCGTCGTTCTCTCGACGGCGCGGTTTGTTATTTATTTCGACTTTATATGCAATATGCTGTCCACACATACACCTACAGTACTTTTCCAGAAATTAAACCTCTCCGCAAGTCATAAAATGAGTTCACTCGTGCAATGCTTTATAAAATTTAAAAGCAGGAATAATGGCGTGAAAGCGATGAACAATATTTGCAGTAGGTCTGCGTTCGCAAAGCTGTAGATTGCGTTTCAAATGTAAAAAGACTCTCTGTAAAAAATGATATTATTTTGCAAATATTTGCTTAAAGTATCGCAAGAGTTTATAGGTGAGAAAAGCGATAAAACATACTGCAATAGCGAAAGATCGATATATGTGAATAACACAAGGAATCCATTAAAGAATACAGCTTGATTCAAAAACGATTGCGATATGATACAATCTAATAGACTGAGCGAATTACGATTATGGTTGTGTCCATGGCGTGAATCAAGCTTAAAAGGGCCGACTAACTCATTGCTTATCGCGTTTCGTGCCAAGGAATCACGGATCTGCGTGCCGGTGGTAGCAGTAGGTCAAAGAGAAAAAGCCCGAGTAAGTGGCCTTCATCCCCAAAGATGGGAACGAGGCGAGAAAAGAAAGGCGAAGAGCCCGGGGCTGGAAAGTAGAGTGCGATAGTAGTATCGACCCGTAAGTTACCCGAAGCAAGACGGAAAGTCACGGAAAGGAAGTGGGTGAAGGGGAGGATGGGTCAGGAGAAATGGCAAGGGAAAAACGGCAGAGAGGGAGAGAAAGACTGGGAATAAGGAAGAGGTCGGCCGGCTGTCGTGTCTCAATCTGTTAAACTCACAGTCGATTACAAATTGTCTGGCAAATTGTCTGGCTTCGAGATGGAAGAAGCTTTAGTTAAGAGTGTAACGCCGAGAATTGCGCGGAAGTGGGGTCAGTGGATTCGTAGGTCGGTGTGATGTGGGAGCAGGCTCTCGACAAGACATTGCCTATTAACCCACAAAACTCAATCAATTCGCGTTTACACGGACGATCTGCTTTCGCTTTAAACAATTAAAAACCACTGAGGACGAAAAACGTGAACGGTGAAATGACATCGAACAAGGCGTGAAAATTACGACGCACATATGTTAGAAATATATTTGTAATTGTCCAAACAACTGGGAATTCGCGTGTATGCTTAAAAACTGTAGGAGCGACAGAAATTAACAAGAGTTTGTATTTCTTGTGATGAAATAATAGTTACTAACAGTTGTTAACAGCAGGTGACATGTTTTCACACTTGTCGAGTCGCCTCAAGTCGAATCAAATGGAATATCATTTGTAAGTAGGCTTAGCTGTACGTCATGCTTAATTGGAGATAGAGAACGATCGATAATTGAACGTTTAAGTCAATTAAATTAAAATTGAAACTAAAGCTAATTATTAATGGTCAGCGAATTCTATCTATTATAGTGATTTAACTTCTTTTAGTCATTTATGAACAAATCTTATTTCCATTCAAAAATTAATTTATGTAATTTGAGAAATATATAATCAACATTATTCGCTAATAAGGAAAGCAAACGAGATAAGGATCAGCAATATATCTTATAAAATCGTTTCGCTCATTATAACATAATAATGCATCTCACTTTTAAAGAAAACTCGATAACTTAAAGATCGCCATTATAAGTTCAAGCTGTAGAGTCATCTAAATCAAAGACTATTAAATTCCTGAAAGGAACAGCCGAGTTGATCAGAGGTAAAGTTCTTTCCATGGTGCCGGCGTGGGTTTCAATAACTCGCGTCTCAGGGTAATCTTCCTTCAAATTCAAAATGATCACGAAGGCACCGGGAATAACGAGTTTCACTATCATCCGGCACCGTTTAACGAATTATACAGAAAATTAAACCCTACTTCGAATAGCGCGCATTTGCTAGTCTACTTACTTTTGCCATCTATAGGCTGACAGTAAGTATCTTCCAGAAAGCTCAAAATTTTCAAATATTTAGTCTAGTTTAGAAAAGTTTAAAGCTTTTAGATATTTACTTTAGTTCATAAATCAACTTGAATTTAATGGTTGTTGATTTACATGACTTTCTATCCGAACGTATAATGACGATCTCTGAGTTATCGAATCTTCTTCAAAAGTGCATCATGTTAAAATAAGTGAGATAATCGTATAAAAGATATTGACATTTACACGTTAAGATGATTTTAGATTCTTACTCCACTTGTTCCTCTAACATTGAAATTTAAAGCTTTGTATATCGTACTATTTTGTTAATATGACTAAAGAAGAAACCATCTTAGCCATCCAACTCGAAGATTGCAACAGGAGACTTGTTCTTTATTCTCCTG